GACGGCAGGTTAGAGTGTGAAGAAGCTGCGAAGAGACGAGTGCCAAAGCTGAGGCTGAAGAACCAGTCAGACCGGATACACCTGAGTTACACACCTGAGTTACACACCTGAGTTACACACCTGAGATACACACCTGAGATACACACCTGAGTTACACACCTGAGATACACACCTGAGTTACACACCTGAGATACACACCTGAGTTACACACCTGAGATACACACCTGAGATACACACCTGAGTTACACACCTGAGATACACACCTGAGATACACACCTGAGATACACACCTGAGATACACACCTGAGTTACACACCTGACATACACACCTGAGTTACACACCTGAGATACACACCTGAGTTACACACCTGAGATACACACCTGAGTTACACACCTGAGATACACACCTGAGATACACACCTGAGTTACACACCTGAGTTACACACCTGAGATACACACCTGAGTTACACACCTGAATTACACACCTGAGTTACACACCTGAGATACACACCTGAGTTACACACCTGAGATACACACCTGAGTTACACACCTGAGATAAACACCTGAGTTACACACCTGAATTACACACCTGAGTTACACACCTGAGATACACACCTGAGTAACACACCTGAGTTACACACCTGAGATACACACCTGAGTTACACACCTGAGATACACACCTGAGTTACACACCTGAGATACACACCTGAATTATACACCTGAGTTACACACCTGAGATACACACCTGAGTTACACACCTGAGTTACACACCTGAGATACACACCTGAGTTACACACCTGAGATACACACCTGAGTTACACACCTGAGATACACACCTGAGTTACACGCCTGAGTTACACACCTGAGATACACACCTGAGATACACGCCTGAGATACACACCTGAGATACACACTTGAGTTACACACCTGAGTTACACACCTGAGATACACACCTGAGTTACACACCTGAGTTACACACCTGAGTTACACACCTGAGATACACACCTGAGTAACACACCTGAGATACACACCTGAATTATACACCTGAGTTACACACCTGAGATACACACCTGAGTTACACACCTGAGTTACACACCTGAGTTACACACCTGAGTTACACACCTGAGATACACACCTGAGTTACACGCCTGAGATACACACCTGAGTTACACATCTGAGATACACACCTGAGATACACACCTGAGTTACACACCTGAGATACACACCTGAGTTACACACCTGAGTAACACACCTGAGTTACACACCTGAGATACACACCTGAGTAACACACCTGAGTTACACACCTGAGATACACACCTGAGTAACACACCTGAGATACACACCTGAGTAACACACCTGAGTTACACACCTGAGATACACACCTGAGATACACACCTGAGTTACACACCTGAGTTACACACCTGACATACACACCTGAGTTACACACCTGAGATACACACCTGAGTTACACACCTGAGATACACACCTGAGTTACACACCTGAGATACATACCTGAGTTACACACCTGAGTTACACACCTGAGATACACACCTGAGTTACACACCTGAGATACACACCTGAGATACACACCTGAGATACACACCTGAGTTACACACCTGAATTATACACCTGAGTTACACACCTGAGATACACACCTGAGTTACACACCTGAGTTACACACCTGAGATACACACCTGAGTTACACACCTCAGATACACACCTGAGATACACTCCTGAGATACACACCTGAGTTACACACCTGAGTAACACACCTTAGATACACACCTGAGGGGTACACACACCTTAGATACACACACCTGAGGGGTACACACACCTTAGATACACACACCTGAGGGGTACACACACCTTAGATACACACACCTGAGGGATACACACACCTTAGATACACACCTGAGGGGTACACACACCTTATATACAAACCTGAGGGGTACACACACCTTTGATACACACACCTGAGGGGTACACACACCTTAGATACACACCTGAGGGGTACACACACCTAAGGGGTACACACACCTTAGATACACACACCTGAGGGGTACACACACCTTAGATACACACCTGAGGGGTACACACACCTTAGATACACACACCTGAGGGGTACACACACCTTAGATACACACCTGAGGGGTACACACACCTTAGATACACACCTGAGGGTTACACACACCTTAGATACACACCTGAGGGGTACACACACACACACCTTAGATATACACACCTGAGGGGTACACACACCTTAGATACACACACCTGAGGGGTACACAGACCTTAGATACACACCTGAGGGGTACACACACCTTAGATACACACACCTGAGGGGTACACAGACCTTAGATACACACCTGAGGGGTACACACACCTTAGATACACACCTGAGGGGTACACACCTTATATACAATCCTGAGGGGTACACACACCTTAGATACACACACCTGAGGGGTACACACACCTTAGATACACACACCTGAGGGGTACACACACCTTAGATACACACCTGAGGGGTACACACACCTTATATACAAACCTGAGGGGTACACACACCTGAGGGGTACACACACCTTAGATACACACACCTGAGGGGTACACACACGCACACACACACACACACCTTAGATACACACCTGAGGGGTACACACACCTTAGATACACACCTGAGGGGTACACACACCTTAGATACACACACCTGAGGGGTACACACACCTTAGATACACACACCTGAGGGGTACACACACCTTAGATACACACCTGAGGGGTACACACACCTGAGGGGTACACACACCTTAGATACACACACCTGAGGGGTACACACACCTTAAATACACACCTGAGGAATACACACACCTCAGATACACACACCTGAGGGGTACACACACCTTAGATACACACCTGAGGGGTACACACACCTTAGATACACACCTGAGGGGTACATACACCTTAGATATACACCTGAGGGGTACACACACACCTTAGATACACACACCTGAGGGGTACACACACCTTAGATACACACACCTGAGGGGTACACAGACCTTAGATACACACCTGAGCGGTACACACACCTCAGATACACACACCTGAGGGGTACACACACCTTAGATACACATCTGAGGGGTACACACACCTTAGATACACACCTGAGGGGTACACACACCTTATGTACAAACCTGAGGGGTACACATACCTTAGATACACACACCTGAGGGGTACACACACCTTAGATACACACCTGAGGGGTACACACACCTTAGATACACACCTGAGGGGTACACACACCTGAGGGGTACACACACCTTAGATACACACACCTGAGGGGTACACAGACCTTAGATACACACCTGAGGGGTACACACACCTTAGATACACACCTGAGGGGTACACACACCTTATATACAAACCTGAGGGGTACACACACCTTAGATACACACACCTGAGGGGTACACTCACCTTAGATACACACACCTGAGGGGTACACACACCTTAGATACACACCTGAGGGGTACACAGACCTTAGATACACACCTGAGGGGTACACACACCTTATATACAAACCTGAGGGGTACACACACCTGAGGGGTACACACACCTTAGATACACACCTGAGGGGTACACACACCTTAGATACACACCTGAGGGGTACACACACCTTATATACAAACCTGAGGGGTACACACACCTGAGGGGTACACACACCTTAGATACACACACCTGAGGGGTACACTCACCTTAGATACACACACCTGAGGGGTACACACACCTTAGATACACATCTGAGGGGTACACACACCTTAGATACACACCTGAGGGGTACACACACCTTATATACAAACCTGATGGGTACACATACCTTAGATACACACACCTGAGGGGTACACACACCTTAGATACACACCTGAGGGGTACACACACCTTAGATACACACCTGAGGGGTACACACACCTTAGATACACACCTGAGGGGTACACACACCTTAGATACACACACCTGAGGGGTACACAGACCTTAGATACACATCTGAGGGGTACACACACCTTAGATACACACCTGAGGGGTACACACACCTTATATACAAACCTGAGGGGTACACACACCTTAGATACACACACCTGAGGGGTACACACACCTTAGATACACACCTGAGGGGTACACACACCTTATATACAAACCTGAGGGGTACACACACCTGAGATACACACACCTGAGGGGTACACATACACACACACACACACACACACACACACACCTGAGGGGTACACACACCTTAGATACACACCTGAGGGGTACACACACCTTAGATACACACACCTGAGGGGTACACACACCTTAGATACACACCTGAGGGGTACACACACCTGAGGGGTACACACACCTTAGATACACACACCTGAGGGGTACACACACCTTAGATACACACCTGAGGGGTACACACACCTCAGATACACACACCTGAGGGGTACACACACCTTAGATACACACCTGAGGGGTACACACACCTTAGATACACACCTGAGGGGTACATACACCTTAGATACACACCTGAGGGGTACACACACACCTTAGATACACACACCTGAGGGGTACACACACCTTAGATACACACACCTGAGGGGTACACAGACCTTAGATACACACCTGAGGGGTACACACACCTTAGATACACACACCTGAGGGGTACACACACATTAGATACACATCTGAGGGGTACACACACCTTAGATACACACCTGAGGGGTACACACACCTTATATACAAACCTGAGGGGTACACATACCTTAGATACACACACCTGAGGGGTACACACACCTTAGATACACACCTGAGGGGTTCACACACCTTAGATACACACCTGAGGGGTACACACACCTTAGATACACACCTGAGGGGTACACACACCTGAGGGGTACACACACCTTAGATACACACACCTGAGGGGTACACAGACCTTAGATACACACCTGCGGGGTACACACACCTTAGATA